GGGAGACGCGCGCCGCGATTGGCCAACGGGCAGAAGAGGGCGGGGCCCGGTGCGGGCCGGCCCGGGCAGCCGGGTCACAGCTGGGCCCGGGTCCCACCGGGTAATCCGGACTTGGGTGCGCAACCACCGGGACGCCACGGAGTATCAGTAAAGTAGGAATATTTTATTTAACAACGAAGCATCGGAGGCGTTATTTAGAACAGTGTAACAAAATAGCAGCCCTGCACAGAGTCTGAGTTGTTTTTTTTTTTAAAAAAATCATTTCTACCACATAAAGAGGAGCTTTGGACTGAGTTCACGTCACCTTCCAAAGTTGTTGTTTAAAAAAAAAAAAAAAAAATTTTTAGTCCTTCCTCTTGAAAGCAAATTAAGTGAATTAGGAAAGGGTACTTGTATGTACCTCCACATTAAGCGGTGCTGCTACAGTTACATTCACACTCACCTGATTTTCATTAATTCCTTGTAATCGTACCGCGAGGCTTATACACACTACGGGCATCACTAATGAAGAACAAAGATTTCAAGTAATCTTCCACTGACCTCTCGTTCCTAGGGTAGTACGAAATATCCTATTCGTAGCCAGTTGCTGCAAGGAACAGAGTACTGCGCTCTATCTGTTACGTTAATTTGTTTCTTGCAAATTTAGTGCAAAGAATTCTCAATACATATTCATAAACCTGTTAAAATATCAGCAATTGATACCATTATACCTTCTTAATGCATAAATGCAAAAAAAAAAACCAGACAGTTCTTGCTTTTAGACAATTAAAATGAAGAGAGCGGTCTTTTTGTGGTGAGTTAATAAAATTTCCTAAGACTAAATTCCAGAGAAGCTGTACATAAAGTTATTTAGTGCTAAAAATCTACAATACGTTTTTCAAGTATAAGATACTGAAATATTATTGCCAATAAATAGTTGTGCTGTAGTCAAAGCCACGGTTCCTGTGTTGAATCATTCACATCTCAACATATTAGGATTTAGTTTCTCACTGAGTTTATGTATTAAAATTGCTAACTCTTCCGTTGCTTGGGACTTATCCTCCAGGAGTTCATAGCGAAGACTGGAGATATCCTGTTTGATTTCCTTTAATTCACCTGTATTAAGAATCGAAAGAAACACTTGTTAGCAGAGTTGAACATGCCTCCCATACTCTTCTGTTAAGTCACATCAGTGCATGTTGCAGATTATTATCCCAAAACGTTCACGAGAGCAGGTACAGGGGTGGGGCAAGAGGCTTTACCTTTCTTCATTCTCTGAGAGATGCGAGTGTGTCTCCACCCCTAAATAGTACCAAAGGTATTTTAATAGTCCCTCAAACTCTAATGTTGTGCTTCACATATATACAGAACATCAAAGATCCCTTTACATAGGTTAATGAGTTAATCACAGCAACACTGCTGAACAGCTGGTGAATATTAGTATCCCCCTTTTAGAGAGAAAAGGCAAAGAGATGTTTTCTGAAGTGATGTGCTAAGATCACGCAGGAAAAGTGTGGCAGAGCTGGCAATAAAACTCACAGCTTCCGAGTCTCCCTCCTCTTCCTTACCAATAGCCTTTGAATTAGAAAAAGTCAACCAATTTAAAATTATGTTAGAATTTGACAGAAGTACAAAGAACTCATTTCAAAGAAAACAACTGCCAAGGCCAGGCTCACAACAAGCGACAGCATGTTTTCCATTATCAGATATTCAGTTCAAGAGCAGAAGCTTTTCCGAAGAGTCAAATACTATTCTTCCAGCAAGTGTGAGGTATGTGAATTCTGACACAGTATCCACTGCAGGAAATGATTTGTCATGGATGAAATAAAAGACTACGAAAGAATGCCTGAATTCTCTAGTGATGCCAAACAGGGAAAAAATCCCTAGGCTGATGTTTAAAATAGCTGCCAGTACCTAAGAATGCAGAACTTTTCTATTTAGAATATAGCAGACTTCAAAAATTCTGTCTTCTAAGGCTGGATTTATGCTTTGGGTACCGATGAGATGGGCACGATGTGAAGAGCGCTACCTTTGCTGTGCAGCTGAAGACGGAGGTTCAGGGCTTAGCTGATTTGCTACCAGTGGTGATAAAGCAAGAACCCTGATGCTCACGAACCATGATCCTTCTGTACTGCCTTGTTTATCTAAACACATACACGCCATTGCCAAACAGGCATCTGCAAAGACTTGTACACCCCGGGCGCTGCTGGTGAGAGAACAGTCTTTTCATCAGTCATAGGTAGGCGATTTCTCCCACGGCAGAGCAGGAACAGGAGGAAAGCAATGGGAATTCAGGAGAGGGGCACAAGAGGCACACTGACAGGAAGACACTTTCAGGAGTTTCTCTGCTTCTGTCACTCACGAGCTAAACTCTGTGCAGCCGCATAGGATGGAGAAGAGTCAGGATAACAGTCAATGCAGGATGCTGCCTTTTGAAGGCACAGAGTGGGATTTAATGTAGATCTTCTTTTCTGCTCCTGCTTCTCGCAGCAGAGAGTTATGGGGAAGCAGAGACTAACTAACAAGCAAAATAAAAGCTGTGCTGCCTTAGCTGAGAGGGCAGCGTGTTCAGGCCCCTCACCTCATATATGCATGCAGCCGTCTGACGCTTCCATGCCAGTAGAAGCTGTTCTGATCCCAAGTTGTTCATTGCGGCAAACCAGCTGGAGAGCACAAGGCTGCCAGCAGGGTGGCTTGGGTTAAGCATTCCCGGTGCACCAAAACCAACCAAACTAGCCTGGATCAGAACTAATTATGCTAAGCAGGTATGTTTTTCTGGTGGTGGTCACACAGATTTCTTACTGACCCAACCATGATGATTATAATCTCCAGCCTGTGGGGAACAAAACCGTTGCTGGGGTGTTACATTTACATGAGCAGAGCCAGCCCTGAAAGGGACGCCATTCTATTGCCTGATAACCTTTAGCTAGAGTGCAGAGCAAATATGCCCCATGTTGTACACATCCCTATTATTTTGTTTGGGGACCTGCCCAGAGCTCAAGAGGTTATTTTTCAGCCTGTAGGCCTGTGTTTCATTCCTGGAAGGCTGCAGGAAGGAGGACAACATTCATCTTACTCTCATCCTAATGGGGAGTCGGGGTGTGCACCTGGAGCATGCACCCCTCGCTGCTACCAGGGAAGTTCCGCACTGTCAACAGACACCAAGCTCAGATCCATCATTTCTCAAAAGATCTCTGGTTGCCCACTTACATAGTGGCTACTGTTGTCATTTTTCTCACCATGCAGCTAACTTTATGCAGCTTTGTTTAATGATGTGCAACTCACAGATGAACATTCCGCACAGCTTTATGAAGGAAGGTAGTACAAGTAGATCATGGTGTAAAATGGTAAATGGTGTATTCAGCTGAATAACACAGAGAAAAAGATGTCCTGCAGCTCTAATTAGGTCTCTGGAAGTATGAATACAGCTAGCGGCTTCCTCACAAATTTCCTCTGTACTTAATGTGTCATGTCTGTGGTCTTGTTTCCTACCTGTAAAATGGGGCCCATAATATTTCTTAGTTCTACTTCTTTGGTCCTGCTTATCCCCTTTTTGTTGTCACAGGTATATTTCCACTACTGTCTATCTGAGTTCAGTGCATCTGAAGTAGAAACAAACCCTCTTTTCACCTGGAACCTTCAGGCACCACTGTAATACCGATTCCTAATACAACGTGACAAAAATTGTCTCTGAATATTGCAAATGCAGTCTCTTTCTTACCTTCATTCACTTCATCATTTTCTTTGTCCACTTGTGCTTTCAGAACATAGCGTTTTATCAGTCTTTTCATTATTTGCTGCCAGATTAAAACAGTTATATAATCAGCTGAGCATATATAATTAAACACTTTTCTTTCTTAACTATCTCCCTCACATCTGTGTAACTGAAAGAACGAGCAGCCTCAGATCAAGCAATTGCCTCAAATAGGCTTTTTTGGTGGCATGCTGAGGTTCATCATGACAATAAAGCACCTTTCTCATCCAATTACCTCTTATTTACAGAGCACCACACTTTTTGTAGAGAACAGGACACTAGGAAATTGTCTAAACACACCTAATTTAGGCTTTAAGTAGCTTCAGGATAGGCCTACTCTTTGTTAAACTCAGTTTACATGTGAAAGGATGTGTAGTAGTGGGAGATAAATATTTACTTTTTAAAAAGAAAGAGAAAAATTGAGATTCTACAGTATGACAGTGCAATGTCAGCTGTAAAGGATTCATTAAGACTATATATGTATTTTTATACTATAACTGCCAGAGTTCCTTGTATGTACAAATATTCTTGTACTGTGTTACCATACCTAATCTAATGCATCTCGGCTAACAGAATTTGCACAGGTGGATTACATATCTCCAAGATTTTCACTAGGGGAACAAGAGCTCCTATTTACTCTTTTATTTCTGAGGTGGAAAGACGACAGGGAGGTAATCTCTGACAGAATTCCCTTACCAGAAAGGAGCATTCCATCTGCAGGAATGTTGAATGTCACCTCTCAAATCATGAAAAGAAAGAAAGGGAAAGTAATGCTAACCTAGTCAGTTCAATGCTTTCACATCCCTTCCCCAGAAATCAGTTTCAGATGTTTGCTTCTCACACTTTTCCAAACTGGGACATCAAAGGAAAAATTGAAGTTTTGCATGCACTAGTTTTTAAACACTTCAAATAATGGGGCTTGAACAATAACTGTCTTTTTTCCAGTAGCATCCTAGAGTTTGATTTCTACAGGATTTTCTTTATCTGGTGAAGGCAAAATGTACTTGAAACACAAAATTCTGCTAGTAACTTCATACAGTTCTATTACTCAAACCAGTGAGCACTGTATGTACTTACTTGATAGCGTGTCGGCTGATTGAGAATGCTGTTAAAACTGTGTGATTCAAAAACTCTCGAGTTCGACTGAGTGAAAAGGTTTAACTAGGAAAAAATAAGACAAAATTAAAATATATTCTGGAATTCAGTTAGAACTTGGCTCAATTTTTTTTTCTTTGAGACACCTTGGGGATGTCTCCATAGTCACTATATCAGAATATTATTTCAAATAAACCTGAGATTGCCTTATTTGTTGGGTTTGGGTTTTTTTTTTTTTTTTGAAACACTGGTAATTTTAGCTATCCTGTTCACAGCACAGTTGCAAAGCAAATGTGCTCACACAGCTGGGGAAATAATGAATTATGACTTGGAGGCAGGGATGAGTGGCCAGAGCATGGAGAGACTCTCCAAATTGGCTTTAATAAAAGAGCTGTTGTGGATCTGCGCTCTTATGCATACTTTCAACTACAAATATATGCTCAAAACCATTTATGCTTAGTTTGAAGTGTTTTTCCAAAGGATCATTTTCAGAAATAGCAATACATTTAGAAAATTGGTCATTATTCAATTAGTTGAGGATCACAAAGTCATCAGATCCCAAATAATTAAAGATCTTTGTAGCAGTGGCTAGAAACAGAAGGGGGAAAAAGCCACCTTGGACAAGATGGCGTTGTTACCAATGCAGAAGTTTTGTTCCTACCAAATCAGGGATCTAGCTCTCCTCTCAGATGCAGTGGTGAGGACGAAGTAAAAAATGTGTACCCATAGAAGAAGGTTCAACCCCCTAATCTACATCTGTTATTAATTTTCTGTGTGGCCAATTAAAAGTCACTGAATCAATGACAGCTGACCTCTCTGGTAGGGTAGGGGAGCAAACTGAAGTCAGCCTGCTTTTATATAGGAAGTTGGATGTTTTCTGTAACTGTCATGGAATTTGTGCCAATGCTGCATACAGCTTGCTGCTTGAGCTGGAGCACAAGTGGGCTGTCTTTACCTACTCCAGATTGCCTGCCTTCCTGTGGGCAATGAGACATCACCTCTGTTTTTATGAGTGAGTGGGACAGAATTTATCTTTGGACAGTGTAATACATAGCATGCCAGCCCAGCTTGACAGAGGGAAGGCTGTGGGCTGCCTTTCCCAGAGAAAAAGAATTTGGTTTGTAGTTCAAGAAAACTAGCTTCACCTGACCTGTCTCAGCAGTGACTCAGACATGATTTTAGTTCTTTATTGACCTACCCTCCAAGTATGACAGTAAGTACTGCTGTATGAGATGTACAAACTACTGAGTGTTTTGTTATAAAAGTATAACTTAGGCTGTTGAGGATTCTTTGTTTTGTTTTTTAAACACATCTCCTGTACAGTGACTGGAGCGCACTAAGGAAGTTCAGGCACTTGGAGCACTAGAGAGCAAAAGATAAGCAGCTAGTACCAAAAAAGTGCTTCTAGCTAAATTGAATTAAATTGACATTTTTGTAAACACATATCTGCTTTCACTGCCTACAGAAAACTGGAGAAAATATTTTCTTTACTGATGATTCAGTACCACCAACAGCTCAGAAGTCCTAGGCTCCAGAGAGATCTTTCAGAAAAGATGACTAGACTTGACATTTCTAATAATTTACAGTAAAACAAATAAAAAATATTTTCAATGTATTGCTTTCAGTCTTTGTAATACACAGGGCCTTGAGCCTTACTTATTTAAAAAGCCACATGTATCCTCTCTAACCTATCTGTGCCCCAGTTTGCCATCAGTAAAACAAGGGGTATTGTTAACTAATTCTCACATAGGCGTTGTGACACTGCATTCCATTAATATTTGTAAAGAACATTTAGATACCCAAATTTAGAATGTCATGGAAGTGCTGAAGATTATTATTACCAATGCCCCCTCTTTCCTGTTGTCTTCTCTTGAGAACACAGCTTTTGACAGTAGGAAGTGAATAGCATACTGACCACACTTTATCCTTTTTCTGTCCTAGTGAAAGGAGAAGTTTTCTCTCCTTAACCCAGACCCACCCCCCCTTTCTTTTTTTCCCTGAACTAGAAATCTTTCTAATGGATGCTGAAAGCATCTTTATTCAATATTTAGGTCATTCCTTGTGGGAATTATTTGCATGTTTGAATAGTCAGTTATTTTTGTTTTAATTGTGTTTTCCCAGTCATTGGACCTTGCTGTCCTAAGAAAATTTATAGCTATTTTTTGATTTTATGCAGTACGTTTAGGCAGTCTGAAATACAGATCAATGAATATAAATGCTTTACTAATTACCGTACTATCATCAGAAGTACAGACTATACCCTAAATCTTAAAGAAAAGCAGAATGCTGGAATGGACACACAATTCTTCACTGCAACAAAAAGATGTCAGCACCTACCCTGGATTTCGAATTGCCCATTCCCATTTCAATGTCCTTCTGTAGCCGTCTCCTCCTGCACTTAGAAAAGTTAATGATCCTCATGATGAAATAGAAAAAAGATTTGGGGCTTGGTACAAGACTGAATGGTGGAGGTAACGTCTTTCCATCATCAAAATACGATAACCAAAGTTTAGAACGAGCGAACTTCCACTCTACATCACTGTCATCCTGTGTTAAGATATGAAAAACAGGTATGTGCTTTGTTTTTATGAAACGCAAAACTTCTTCCAAATGAAATTTATTTTAAATATTGACCCTGTCTGGTTTTACATAAAATGTTATTTGCTTGCTAATAAGACTCCCAGTAGTTCTACACAAACCTATTTTAACTAAATTTCAGTTGTTTGTTAATGGCAACTTCTCATTGACGATACTTAGTTAAAGCATGTGAACCATTTAAACAAGTATTATTTTTGCCCGGAGTGAAAGACAACATATAAATTCCTTGCTATTTCAAGTGGAACTTTTTTTGGTTTTTAAAGTCTTGTTTTTCCTCACTGAAGTGGTCACATGAATTTGGTACTCACACAAATGACAAAGTATTAGCTTCAGGGCAGACACGGTTTAAAATGGCAACACAGCTTTTTATATAACTGTGAAAAGTAACTCTGGTTTATGGAGTACAGAAAACACAAACTTTGTTGTCATGAAAAAATCGTGTTAAAAACTGACAAACTGATTCTGTCCTAATACATTCTTACAGAAGCATTCTTTTTTTACACTTCCCAGAAGCCACTGAAAATAATGGAAATGACATATCCATTTGTACACTATGTCTTAGATAATCTTTTTTTTCCTGCTAGCATGGGTGTGCACCCACATCTTTGTGAATGTAGTACTCTCTGAATAATACCAGAACTCATGGTCTGGAAAACTGGCACTATAAATATACTTTTACTTTCATTTCAGCAACTTGGGATTTATTTTTAAAACCCAAGTATCTTCTCTACTTTAAAATTTTCTGATTTTTTTTTTGGAGTTGGATGCTAAATATTTTAATTAATTATCTTTAAAAATGAAAATACTTCGTCTTCATCCTGAAATTCACATAAAATATATCTCTCTTAATAAGCAATGCAGCCAATAACTTTATGTGAAATTCAAGTATGCGGTCAACTGAGACACTTGGCAGATTTGGAGAAACACTGCCACTGTGTTTTCAGGGCATATGGCAAAGCTCCATAAACCTAGAATAAAGTTTTAATATTGTACCTAAAGTGGAAAAAACCCCACTTATCACAAATAAAGCATGTAAGCATTGCAAAGTGTGACTCAGTCACAACAATCTTGAAGACAAGCATCTGTATCATACTCCATGTACAGAGGCATATAAATGTAATAAAGTATGTCCATGTATCACTGCTGTGCATGTGTTTAACTCCTGCACATTTAGCTAAAAAGTTTGAGAACTGGAAATAAAAAACAGACTTCCGTTAAAGAACACATAAAAATACATATAATCCATATACTAATGATCTGTCAAAGATTGAAGTGCACTACATTAAGGAAACATGCAATAAACACCCTAAGGAACCTGGGAACGAACCATCTGTGTCTAAAATGTTACACTCAGTAACTTTGTTTTCTACTTCATAGCAGTTTTCATGTATTACTTTAGATTCTAAGATTCCTGGGATGGGTGACATCTCCCTAGATGCATATACATGGCGCAAGAAGAACTACTCGTTCAGATCCTGTAAGGTTCTGCAGCTTGGCTGGGTTGTTAGATAAAGTCAGTCCTAGGCACATGGTCTTTTTTGTGATCTCCTTTACTGAGGTAATCTCTTCACTGTACTTTTGCATTTTAAGATATGCTCACTGAAAGGATTCCTAGTAATTCTGCCCTTTTTCAGCATAACAAAAGAAAACAACTTGAGAACAGAGCCCACCTCAATTTCTTGGTATGAACTGTTGATCATAGCAATCAGCATGTTGAGCAGAACTACCACCATCGTTACATTGTATATGCCATAAAGAACATAACCGATGTTCTCTATGAACTTATGATCATATTTGAGGACAACAGAGGTTACTTCAGACAAGCCAAATATTGACCAAAATAAGGTCTTGAAACTTTCTTCCACTCTGTAGGAAAAAAAAAAAGAGGAAAGCATTATTACTAACTACACAAATAAATTGTGTTTACAGTAAGTGATAAACAATCTCAAGTAATTTTTCTGCAAACCAGGTTTGTAGCGCTGATCAAAACAACAAATATGCAAAAAAATATTTTTCACCTTATGTTCTATTTCTCCATTATGCTCCACCTATCCATCACAGATAATATAGTTGTAATAATACACACAAAACAGCAGTCCAGGAGTTAGAAAGGGATTATATTTCCAGGTTTTGAGATGAAGCATATTCTCATCTCATTGTCTGCCAGCCTAACTCCGCAGGGGGCAGACCTTCCCTGTCCTAATAAAGCTAAAAGGGGGCTGATGGAAAGTCAAATGCTGCGCTCCTTTCAGGAGCTTCTGATTAAACCTTCTGCTAGGAAGGGTGCATTCAAAAGTGGGTAGCAGCAGGTTCAGCAACAAACCTGACAAACCAAACAGATTTCATGGGATTTGTTCGAGACTTGTTGAAATCAGTAGGAGCCAGGCACTTCAACAGGAGACAGGCCCCCAGATACCCCTTAAGGCTCTGGACCCAAGACCCAGCGCCTCTATGCTTCTGTCTCCATCCCATGGTCAGGACGATTCCTGAGGAACTGAGCTGCCAAGGGTTCTCAGACAGCTACCAGACAGCTCTTCAAGCCTTCAGGGCCTTTGAGAGTGGATCTTCTTCAAGCACTCCTCCTCACGCTGCCATTCCTCTTTCCACTCAGGAAGCATTGCTACAGGTTGGCGTGTCATGCAGTTAGGACACAAGCAGCTCACTGCAAAGCTCTATTCTGCCCCACTGAGAGGTGGGCTAATGAATGCAAGCTAAGAGTTGTTGATATTCAAAAAAAGATTTTGATGTGCCTTCCACTATACCCTACAGAATTTACTGGCAATTACTTCTTCCTCCATGTTGCCAAAAAGCGAACAAACAGAGAGCTGTATTTTAATAACTAAAAGATGCCAGTAAACATATCAGGAATTACCTGTTTTAACACTGATAAAAGATTTTAAAATGCAAATAATATACGAATGGTTGTACTAGTCCAGTAAAATATCAGCTATTTAAGAAAATAATAAGCATTCAAATGGTATGCACACTAGACAACTGATATCAAATACTGTAGCAAAAGTATCATTATATTTCATTATTTATCTAAAGAAAAGACAATGAGTAAGAATAAGGGCAAAAATGAGGCTCAATTTAAGGAGAAGTCATGGAATCAACTACATGAAAATATGGCAGTTTTTAGAGAAATCAGGTCTCCTGTAAAAAGATGGGAGAAAGGAAAAAGTTCTGAATTTCACCATCCTATGGAATTACTTCTGGTTTGGAATGTCATAAATATTTATCACTTCCAGCATCACCTTGTTTCAGAAAGTAGAAAAAACAAGCAAACAAAAAACTTTAAAGATCATAGCAAGCAATCTCATTGCAAGAAGAGAGACTTATAACCTCCATTCTTCTGTACTCACGTGACTAACGATAACAAGCAGTTATCCTGAAGATTTAAAAATGGATCCAAGAGTCCAATTTACAGATTTGTTTCAGAACCCGTCTAAGAGAGAAACATGCCATCTACAGATCCACTAGCTCTCTTTCTTGGCAAATGAAAATTATTTGGAAGCCTATTATTGGCATCTAGGCTAAATCTCTCTGTGTATCAGTTAGGTCTGACAGAGCCCAGTTAAAGATTACAATTTTAGCAGTTGCTTTGGGAAAATGTCATTCAGAAGATACCAGTAATATTTTCTTGCAATTGGTTGTCCACAAGTCTGTGTGACTAACATTATATGCAGGTCAAATTATTTTAGGCTGCAATGAAAGCTTCCATTATACAAGTAGAAAAGAATTGGTCTTTTGTATTCTGCTTTCTAAGGTTCTGAGATACCTGGTTTCCTGCTGTTTTCTGTCTTCAGTTTTGTTTTAATGCTAGGAGAGAGCATACAGTATCTTGCAGACTCTGGTACCTTAGTGAAAAACCTGAAAGTTTCATGTCAGCTTTTTACTTGAACATAACTTAATACTTACGTTGTAAAGGCTGGGTTTAGCTTAGCTCCAAGGTAGTAGGAATACAGTATGAACATTCCAATCATAAATGCAAGAAATACCATAATAAAAAGGACCATAAACTTGAAGATGTCCTTAACAGTCCTTCCAAGTGAAATCTGCAAGGGCCCAAAACTCTCATTTGCAGGCAGGATATATGCAATCCGAGAAAAGCTAAGAACAACAGCAATTGCATAAAGGCCTTCAGATATTATCTGAGGATCAGATGGGAGCCATTTGTCTCTAGCTGGAAGATATAAAATACAGGGGTAAAATATAAGGAGGTACTCATTTATCACCATGTTGAAAAATAAATCTTGATAGGATCTTTCCATGAACATGGCTGAATTCAGTTGAGACAAATTTTTGAAGAGTCTAATAGTTGCTACTCTAGTCCTACTTCCTTTAAGTCACAAATGATGAATGTAAGTTACATTACCTTTTGCTAGAGGAAAAACTATACTTGAAGAAATGTGACATTTTCTTGTACAGTTTGCATTTTAACCTAAACTACATAACAATAAATAATTCCTTATTGCTTTTTCTTAACACAGCTGTATTATTGACTATCTTAATAAGCACTACGCTAAAGCCAGAAATGTATTCATATTTTGTGTTTTACTTATGAGAAGTTACCAGTGTAGGCTGATGAACAATTTCATTTGTTAATCACACCAAGCTTTTGCCACTGTTACAAGTTCAGGATATAACCTAGTTACCATCGAAATCATGAAGATTTTTGCCATTTACCTTAAAGGAAGCAAGATTGTGGTTTTTACACACAATATGCACAGAAACAATTGAGTTACATATAAATTCATAAATTGTTTATTACATGAATTAGCGCCCATCTTAGCCAAATACCACTGAATTAAAATGTTTCGTATCAAAATACCATGTGTTTCTGTGCATTTACATATGTAAAAATTCACATTGATTATATAGCAATTAACATAAATAATAAAACCAAGTCTGCCATTGTAATACAGTGAAGTTCATAAAGCATATGCTAAAATATGCTGTCAGCAGCAAATACAGCCTTTGCTCATGTTGCAAATAGAGATTCATCACACTTTTAATTACAGTTTTTGCACTGCAGTAACTATTTAGTACTTTTACTCTGTTTGACCAGATCTTCTAATATATCTTTATAAATATCAATAACTGTATCAAGCAACTGAATCAAACAAAAAAAATGTACATCAAAATTGTATCACACAAATAAAATATAGCATGCAAATCTTTATAACCAAGAGGGTCAAATTTAGCTCTAGGATAAACAGTTACAACAAAATTATGGACAGCTACATTTGATTTTTTCCTTATGCCTACTGTTTGGTTTTAACATATTAGCAAACTTATTTGTCAAACTAATGTCATAATAACTATTGTTTAAATAGCATAGAATCAAAAATATTGAGGCAGGAATGGTTGGACAATGCAATGAACAAAAACACATGCAAATATTCATCTTAAGGCTTCATAATGTTAGTGCATCCCACCGGTTTTCTTATGTTCAGATCTGTGTTGCAGAAAAGTTAAACTCACCATAAGTAAAATATTCTATTTCTGGAGGAAGTGTGACTTCAGAGAGGTCATTCTCCTCAATGTAGTTGTCCACATATTGTTGTGCTTTTGTGGCCTGAAGGAATGCCAGAAGCCTCGCTGTGAAAGCGGCAATGAAAATGGACAGCATCCCAAAGTCCAAAACATTCCATAACTGCAAAATATATTCCCTGGGTCCTTCCAGCCACAGTTCTTTGCATTCTGACCACATCATACCTGCAACAAGAAGTGAAAATAAACAAAACCATAGCAACATTCACCAAATTATTCTCATTTAAACTCTCTGCATTCTCCCATTTCATGAAACCAGGTGGTACCAGTGGAGCAAAAATTCACTTATATGGAGTGTCACAGTGTCATGATACACCTTGAATAAGGCTTTCTTGGTTTCAACAGGGTTGATCAAATGGCTAGGTGTTAATCGACACGCGGGGATGAAGCTCAGGCATCTCCACATAGAGTAGCGTAGAGCCACGACTTTGCAGTGACAGTGTAACAGCCTAACAATATAACAGTATGCTGTACTTCTAAAGAAGGAAAAATGTTAAATGTGGAAAAAGAACTCCTCTCATTTCCTTACCACTTACATTCATAAAATACTTCCGAATCGGAAGGATTAATTTTTACAGAGGAGCACAACTACCCAACTACACAGATGCCCAAATGTAAAGGGATCAATTATACTACTGGTTCTCCACTTTACAGAATAAGGTGCTTTTCAGCACATAAAGTGGAAATTGGCTGTGTGTAATTCAGTTTTCTTACTCAAGCTTCTCCTCAGAAATTCATTTACATGGAATTAGTCCAGATCACAGCCTCATCATAACCTAGAGATGTAGTTGTTGGGAATAAAGACTTTTTCTTATTTCAAAAAAGTTTCTCAGGGGAAAAAAAACGCCAAACAACAAACCCACAAGCCCACAACTTTTTTTCTTGTTTCCTGGCTGGATAATTCAGAGAGGGTACTGCTGCCTTCCCAACCATACACACAGCAGCCATGCACCGGATTGGCTTAAGGCTAGTTGCGTCTCAGTGCCCAAGAAATTTCTCATAGTGACCAAGTCCTAGAGACCATCAAAATCTCAGTCCTTGCCTTCTGTCAAATAAAGAGGCTGCTCCTCACACGTATATGCTGGGACTAACAAAAGGCATCCCTTGATGTGCATCTCCCTACCCTAACATAGTTTAAGACAAAACAGTGCTTAAACCAGGAGATGTAGGTGACAATATAGGTGATTCAAAAGGCAGAGCGAGGCACCTTCACATAGCAGCCGCAGCAACACTTCCTTTCTTTTCCACAGCCTGTAAAAGCTGAGAATGCTACGTTATTATGTGGCTAACTGACATTTTGCTACACAGAGCACCTGACTTTGGTGAAATGCTAGAAGACAGCATTTTCTGCCATACAGAATTTCAAACAGGCTGACAGCTGATCAAGTTTTGTGAAAATAACTGAGTAATGAGAACTGACTCATTAGCCCCCTGACACTGGCAGAAACTGTGATTTCCCCAAATGCTACCTAGGCAGCAATGCCACACAAGCACTGATGTGCTAGCACATTAACTCTGAACAGTAGGAACTCCTGACCTTCTGGCACATACAGAAGCGTAGGCTTCCTCATACTATTTAAGAAAACCACTTCAGTAAAGTATAATTTCTGTGGTGTTCGCTTCAGCAAACCTGTGCTCTTTTTCCCAGCGCCAGAATTACCAAACAGTGCAGCAAATCAGCAAACAAAATTTTACCCCGTGCTGCAAGAGGGGGCAGCACAGAGATATCCTGATGCTCTCACCAGATCTAATGCACTGCCCTAAGATTTTTTTCTAACCGCGCAGCAGCTGGAGCAGAGGTTTGGGACCTGGGCTTCTCTCCTTTCTTTTAGAATTTGTATCTGCAGGAAAACAGTTGACATAAAGATGAAGGGGCAATATACCTACCAAGTACCCATACCATGATCAGCATTTCTGTCCAGGTGAACTGGGTAGTCTTCACCCTAAAGATCTGTTTAGGGTAGTCGGTAACAGTGACATTCGGCAGCGTTGTTATACCTTCAAATCTGTCTGAAGCATTGAACACGAGCAGGCCTAGGAAAATAATGAAGGATGCTGCATGTGCCACAAATTTCATAAATGGGCTTCGAAGAATTCTTCCAAGCTGCAAAGGCAGAATGAAAGCAGTCACTCAGTTTTCTCAAAGAAACAATCTCTTCCATCAGGCATTCCAGAAGCATAAGTGGGCACTCAGAGCTCAGGACAGTCTGAAACCTCATTTTTCAAGGATATTCTTCCAAGTGCACTGAACTGCGATGCTTTACCATTTCAGACAAAAGTCTCCCAAAGGCAGCCTCATGGAGTATGCTGTCCTGTTAGTGAGTGTTCATGTTATTCGATAAACTCTAGATGGCAATGTTTGAGGGGAAACACTCAAAGGAATTACAAACGTACAATACCTGTGACCAGAAAGTGTTTGACCTAATGCCCACAGATACCAAATGAGGAGGCAGAAGCAAGCCCATGGGAAATAAATAAATAAATGAAATCTTCAAGTAGCAAAATGCTTCCCTTACCACCGAGAGCGTACTATTAGCTTGTCTATGACTACAGCTCTAGAAAAAATTACAGACTCATCTTCTCATCTCTGGCTACTGTATTCTATCCACAGAATATATGTTCAGAGCCATAAGTGTCAAATAACGCTCACTAAAAATAATAACTGTTCCACCACAATGGACTAAGAAGGACAAGCTCAGAAATACTACTATTTTCAAATAAATTCAGCTGATGTCTTTCACATCTGCACCTGGTAGAAGGGCAAAACAGCAACAGCAGAGGCAGACTGTCTACATGAGAAGAGAGGACCGGCTACCTCCAGGAGACCACACTGGAAAAAGCAACGGGCCTGTTGCTGTTGCTCACTGTATGAAAAAGAAGAGTCTGCGATCCCATCAATACTAACCTTATCCTGCAAGCCAGCATCAGAAGTGCTAAGCTATAAGCCCACTCCTTTGAGGGCAAAACTGCCAGTATCCTTTATTTAGGCAGGGAAGGTCTGGGACAATGCTTGTCCCATCTCTGCACAAGGTGTGACAAGATAGATGCTGGACAGACTTCGTTTTAGCTGCTGCGCACCTTTGAAGGCCAGAGGTCTCCTATCTCCTTCAGTACAACAGAACAATACACTGCTCCACATGTAATGCCTGACCTTTATTAATGTTAATATACAGTTCTACTGTGATAAACTATCACATTCATCACCAATATTAAGCAATATTCCAAAATCCCCTGTGAAGAGCTGCATTATCAGCCGTACCATATAAAAAGAAAAAAAAACAAGTTCAGAAGATGGGGAACTGGAAGCAGCTTTCTTATTTCAATGAAGGAATGGTTTTCCTGAAACTGGGGTCAGCTACTATGAACTAAGCGGACCAGCACACGCTAAATAGCATTTACTGCCTGTGCAAACAATCTCAGGTTCCCTTCCTGCTCCTGACCTTTAGAAAGCATTTTGAAATTACAATATCAAACAACTGATCTGAATGTACAGTACTTTTATTTGACATGAGCACTAGGAAAAATGTCAGGTGTTTCTGGTACTGGGAATTAAAGCTCAAGGACAAATGTCACTTTTCCATATTAGACACCAGCTAAAAATATATTAATACATTTCTATGATATGGAGCTGTGAGTGAGGAATATCTTTACTACAAATATTCATGGAAAGTGACATTTCATGGAATAATGAGAGCAACAATTATACTATTTTCATAAGGGTTTATCTTTAAAGTAAATAAATATTTAACCCAGAGAAAACATCAGGTTCCCTTGAAATATACAGGAGATTAGCAAAATGTTATCCTTTTTGAGGTAAACTACAAGAACAAAACATAAATGAATTAAACTCACATTTCTTTATGTGAAGTCACAAGTTTTTATGGACTCATAAGTTCTACACTTGTTAAGGAAATAAAATTGAAAGACCACATTCAGCACAGAAGTTACTTAGAATTTTCAATAAAATTAATGTAACACAGAAATTTTACTTCTGATTTACCAAAGATCTATCAATGTGCTTCATCTGCAGACAACTCACATGCTACAGACTATAAGGATTTCAAAGAAACTGCTGTTACTTTCCTTGTGAGATCATCAGGAAAGCTGGAAGCATCCATATATTTTCATACAATTTTAAAGAGGTAAGATTTTACAGCTGCACTATTTTACAAATATACTGTACCACATGGTTGGAATACTGCGTTTCATTTAATTTCTGCTCTATGATTCACCTGGTAAACAGACCTCCTAGGGCAGGAATAACAGATATTTTACTTAATCTTAAGTTCTGCATCAATGAAGTCAACAGATGTTCTGCTAATAGTTTATACAGGAACAGCGCCAGATCTTAAGATGCCATCAGAGGAGACCTGATACAGAATCTGAGTGGTGACTTTCAAAAAATCCATGTTATTAATACAAATATAATTACATAGCAGAGACTGTGAGGTGAGCATGACCTATGGAAATTTAAAAAAGAAAAAAAAAAGCTCTCAGAGAAGGTGGGGTTCGTTTTTTTTTTTTTTTCTTTAAACTTAATAGCTTATTTTCATGCTTCATGACCATGGTCCCCTCTTTACAGTGCAAATAAAACAAATAGCATCTTTTGGCTCAAGTCTAGAGATTACTAAAAATATCGTTAATTAGTTAAAATTTGGAAGCAGCAGAATTAGAGGTACAATATTACATTTTGAATGCCAGAAATGGAAAAATAGCTCCCAGAATAGTACAAGATACGTAATTGATAAAATTCAGTACCCTGCTACATGGTGCAATCCAATAACCAATGGCTAGAAATGGAAGGCCCAATGCCACAACCAGCACAACCAGACACTTGATAGCTATGGTCTGCTCCCGTAATCCTGAGAGATTTTCATACCAGATAGTCAGTAGCTGTTGCTGACAGTTTGGATGGGCCACAAACTGCAAAGAAAAAGAAAGAAAATCAAGACATTATAATTTATGAGAAGAGTTATATAACTGCTACATACATGATCGTGACCACCTTAAATATTTGATGTTAATTTAGACCTTAAGAAACACCTTTTTTCTCCCTTCCTTTAAAATAAAGGTTAATAAAGAAGAAACTGCTGAGCAGATTTAAAGCAGCACTTTGGGGACAGCATTGCACACGTGGACAGTCATCACCAACAGAAGCATTTTATGCATTATTAGAACAGCTTTGCATACCTGGCTGGATCCTGTCAGAGTTGAACCTCAGTCCTAACTTCCAACAATTTCTCAGCAAATTAAGCTGATCTAAGGTACATGCAGAGTTTCTACAGAGACTGAAAATTCTGGTCTGACCATAATCCACCATCAGCCTCTCCCCTTCCTGCATACGCTCTTCTTCAAACATCATTGCCATTTGATTCGGTTCTTGACAAAGGCTCCAAATACCTCCCTAACCATCTATACATTTTCAGTCTAAACCTTACTGAGGCAAGAAATAAAGTACAGCCACAGAATTTTAAACCTCACCAGAACATACAGAGATGTATACTGAAAGGGTTTCTTCTCTCTTACTACCATCAATGGTGCTAGCTATCACCTCTACTTAGATGTACTTGGGATTTGAAAAATAATCAGAAGGCACTTATGACAAATACTTTTTTATGTTTTGTGGAAAATAAAATTTAGCATTCGGTAATATAAGGAAATTCCATTTTGTGAACCAGGTGAAAAGGTGATCTTATGGTGATCTAAGGACTCTGTAATAGATAGTATTTTGCTGCACAGTTTTGTTCATGCCTTTGATACTATCTCAGCTGAAAAATATTAAATCCTCAAATCTGACAGTTTTCAAAAAAAACTTACCCTTTTTCACTATTTTAAGATTTTAAAGGACACTGAATGTACAGATTGTTATCACTATACAGTCTTATGCTATTCTTTGTGTTTTAATGAGTTGTTAACACCTTAACAACACACTGCAGAAGGCTGAAATAAGATGAGGTGTATAGTTTAACTAGAAATATAAACATTTCAGTGATTTCTGAGCAAGATAATTTTATTTTTAATTAATTCTTTTACAAGATGTTCCTTTTAGCTTTGCTGATTAGCTTACATTACTATTTATCAATATTAAGTATTTGCTGATTTGTTTGTATAGCAGAAGGACAAAAAGGTATCAAACCTATAGGGGAAACCACAAGAGCAGACACGTACAAATATCTGAATAACTATAGTCTCTGATAAAATGACCAAAGTTGTCATATTCAGGCATTTAAACAAGAATGTCCTGATTGTCGGTAGTCTAAGCATACACAGCTACCACTGAATTTCTATTCATTGAATGTCAGGCCATTTTTGGAACGTTCCACCCTACATCTAAATTTTGGTACCTAATTTTCTTGTACCCAGACATGGACATGTGAAAGACGAATTTCCAATATACTTACTCTCTTTTGACCTAACTCTGATGCCTGCTGAAGTCAATGGTAAAATTTCAACTGACCTTCACTAAGCCGAGCCAAGACATCATCAAGGAGTTTTGTAACCAACTGCTTTAAAATGGGATGGAAAGGGCAGAGGGGAGTGAGACAAACATTGAGACAAAGAAATAGGGCATCAAGTGAATTTATCAGGATCTAGTCATGAAGAGACAATCAGACAAGTGGAAAATTAGGCTTAGGATTAATGCTCAGCTTCTCCTCAGACAGTTATTACAACACAAACTTGCTCTCCTGCACCTTTTGTGTAAGTTTCATTTGTCCCCAGCTTCCACAAATTCTTCCTTAAGTGTCCCAAAATTGAAAGGGAGCAGAGATTAAAATGTTAAGATACTAAACTGGCACACATTAAGGATCTAGTACCCACTAAAATAAAAAAAACAATCAACTTCCAACTTTCTCCTATGCAGCAAATACATGCAAATGTTATTCTCCTAGCTTCAGTAAGATTTCAGTATGTTCACAGGGAAAGGGAATGATTCCCAAATTAATTATGGAATGATAAAGCAAGCTGCTACCAACAACTGCATTTGTTTAGATATGCTTTATTTTACTAAAATTACTTTTGGTCGAGTTTGGTCAAGAGTGAGCATATATTACTCTATTTTTAAAGCACTGTTGTATTTCATTAGGATGAAGCAACTATGCAGGATAGAAGAGACTATGCAGCCACTCCATCAGGATCATGTTGTGTAACCAGGACTGTATAACCCATGCTGGGTGCTGCTACTGAAGAAACATAAGGAGCGGGAGGGAAGAAGAATTCTATAGCTCCCTATGTCCATTATATTTACATTTCTGGTTAAATCCATTTCTAAAGCATTATCATACTCATCATTATCACTATTACTATTACACCATATCCTGTGAGACTATCACATCACAAGAGCATGTGGGACATCAGTTAAGCACATGGGTAAAACAGCCAAGTTATCACAGCAATTTGAAGAAATCTGGTAACATACTTGTCACATTGGTTGACAGCAACTACTGAATTGAAGTAAAGAATGCTAGGCAGTTTCACAAAAATTATTTGAAAATAATTCTGATAACACTGATAATCCATTTTGGATTAAGAGTGAGATTTGATCCGAGTTGCTTATACTTAAAGAAAATTTCAAAAATTCTGTAAACCTTGGATATCCACTTTATTATCCTCTGTATGCTGTTGAGATTGTAATGTACTCTATACACTGTTTTTTGCTGGGTCTTGCCTGCAAAACTCCATTTATATTCCAAATCTCATTAGAAAGTGCATTCAGTAGTATGATAGGGCAGACTTCTTAAAAAAAAAAAATCAAATTAAATCATTGGCAATGAAAACGGAGAACCTTAAAACTCTCAAGAGGAGGAATATGAAGCTGCTGCATAAACTTTAAAAAGGGAAGCAATCTTCATATTTTGATCTACTTTGCTCTAAAACAAAACTCCTAAAGTATTTTGGTGTGTGATTCATTAACCAGTTAGATCACATATTAATGCAATTAGTACCTGTAGTGGAATGGCCAACAAAAATAAATAAAATTATTTTAAAACTCTTTTAAGAAATTCCTGTCAACCTGAACTGTTTGTATTCTTTTTATTAGGCTGTTACTTTTGAAGCTTATGCACCATAAAAACTGCCAGCCTGGCCCATTTGAGGTGGGGTGGGGAAGAAAGAGAGACTTTTTTGTGTGTTTGTGCATTCTGACACATGGCCCCGGTCTCTTCTTTTACTGAAATAAATTTCATTCTCAACTCAGGACACGAAGGGACAAATCCCACAGCAGATCAACTGTGGCCAAAGACAGGAAAGTAAATAATTATTTCAAATTACAAAGACATTCTTAAAAAACAGGCTTAAAACTGTAGGGAAGAGGAGAGAGAAGAAACACCCACATCATTCCTCCTGTTACTGGAGGGGATAAGGAGAAATAGGAAAGGAACTTTAAGGGAGCTCGCCCAGGGCTATGAATCAGCCCACAGGCCCTCTTGCATCTCTTCCAGAGCTCTGCACTGGTTTATTCCTCCCGGTCTATCAACATTTTGATCTGATGCTAAGAGATCTGCCTGTGCTATAATTTTCCCCAGAAAAGGGAGGAGTTGGTGAACAAAATGCCAATGGTTATGGCAAGTTCTTCTCTGGCAGTAAGTCTAAGGGCTCTCGAGAAGATCTTAGCAACTTATTTAACTTCTGGCAACTGCACAACATGCACCACTTCCAAGCCCTCAGAGCAACTTGTCGCTTCTCCCATCCATAAAAGCTCTGAAATTCATCCTTTTCCTCAGCTCTGCTGAAATATTTGAATTTATGATTTTGTTGTCTTTATTTTCAGCAACTGCAACCTCTTCTACACTTTCCCCCCCCGGTATATCTGTCTCCACCCCAGCTTCATCTCCTCCAAGGACAGTAGATTCACATCCTATTTCACCTACCATCTTACAACTTTTTTCCTTCTGCATTCCTTTTCTCTCATCCTACTTTCCATGCAGTTTCTTACTTTTCATTACATGCTGATCTTATTATCACATATACCTAGTATTTTAGGATCCAATCCAAACCCCAGTGAACAGAGATGCATGAGGACTGTATCCGGTCACTAAAAAAAAAAATCCCAATTTTAATTTAGCTGCTTTTCTGGGCATAATTGACTGTAACACTTCAGCTGCATTCAGTTTCATGACCACGAATCAAGTCATCAGTATGTAAATATTTTTCTGTGTGACTAAGGAATAAATAACATCATAATCACTCTAACATCCTAATGACTGAGTTTAGACATAGCAGGAACAGATACTGGCACACTCTGATACGCAAATACACAACATACAAACAGAATTTTTAATCTTTCTTATCTATCAGTTTGAAACTTCCATGTTTGAAAATTAAATCCTATGATTTTACTCAAACTCTTATTGATTTCACTTGGAAATTCCACTCTGATTTTTATCTCAGCAAGAACTGCAGAACTTGGCCCAGTGTCAGCAACTTCTCTGAAATTTTGTTGGCAATCTAAAGACAGAATTAAAATACAATCCTAAAAGCACTACTGCAGCAGAGCAAGACTACTTGTTCTAATTAGTTTTTCTTGGTTTTTTAATCCCCTTAGTCCTTCATTATTGGGACTGCAGTTTCAGTCTGAACCTTAGCTTCAAAATCATACCCTGTTTACAAGATGGGCTACACTTTAATGCAGTGCCTAGGGTATTAAGTGCAAAAGTTTCATTACTAATAGGTTGAAAAGCTCCATTTCCTTATACGTGAATTTCTGACCACATTTGCTCATTTGTCATATACTTTTTTCTGTCTCTCCTCCCTCTTAGAAGGGCTTAGGGCTCATTAATCATTTCATGGACCTGCCATTCTGTTTGGCTGTACTATCTGTCTTGCAACAGTGAACTGACCTTAACATAGCTGACCCGGAAGTGCAGTTAGAAATACCGAAAGCTAAAAAACATAAGCCACATCCTTGTCTTCTTCCTACAGTTACAGGGTTGAAAGCATCCTGTGTGGAGTTCCCACATCTAAGTATGTTCTACAGTCAGAATATTGCTATAATCAGCCACAGTTGTAATGGAGCCAATCCCAGCATCAAAGGACCACCATGGCAGAGATGCCTCCTGGCTCAGTCCTTGTCATGCCCTCTCTAATGGCCATTTACAGGGAATGGCACATGTATGACTATGGTAACAACTCCGCACCATCTATTTATTTCCTTCCACCACGATTATCAGCTGTGTAGGTTCTGAACTGTATTTGTCATGGATTTGAGTCAAAACCTTGAGTTTATCTACAAATAATTAACCTCTTGCAAGAGAAGAGTACAAATTTGCTACAAGTCTTTTTTTGCACTGTGTAGGTTTTTGTTATTCTTAATAGACCTCTGTGGCCCTCTGCTCAACAATGAATTTAATCAGTGACAACGACCTCTTAGAAGAAAACCACACCCAGTCTTCAGCAAGGAGGCCGAGACACAAATCTCAGCAAAGGTTTGGTAACATTAATATACAACAGCATAAACAATTCATATGTTACTTAGATATGATAACATGCTTACGTACTTTGATTCTTTCCCTGTTCCATTCTTTAATTAATTTAATACTTGTATATATTTACCTGAATTTTGCCAATTAATATGCATTTATCTGCTGTAGACCAATTCTATACTGGAAACAATGATTTGCTGTTCAGGATCTGCATTTACAATTTTTGTTAACCATCTTCTGGGGACATAGTAAATACCAACATTTCCCAGTTGTTCTGGCAAGTTGCTTACAATTCATTTTATACGGCAGATTGGCTCAACAGGTGGCCACAGAATACAGTGTTATTTACTCTGAAAGACACAAGACTTCTTGCAGAGATGATGAAATTATAATGACTGTGAAGAATGGAAATGATACTAACCATGTAAATAGGTAGCTGTAAATAATACCTAGGCATTGCTGTATTTCTTGAGTCCTCTCATAGTAGGACACAGTATTAACTATTTTCTGTGCTACAGTAGTGGGATCTTGAAAAGAACAACATAGCTACATATTGAAAACTGCTACAATAAATGCATATGCATTTTGTCAAATGTGTGATACACAGCTCCATTTTTCAACACATAACATTCATTCACAAAATAACTGTTAATTCAAAATTACTTTGAGAGAGGCATCAACTGGAAACACATTGCACTTTATAAAACACCAATAAATACAGGTGCAAAGATTAAGAACTGAAATGAACTGATTAACTAGCCACAAATAGATTCAGGACTGAATTTTAAAACATTTTTAAAGGAACACATACAGTAAATCATGTAGACTTTCTCACTACAACCCTCACAGTTGCAGATGAGCTGATGTTCTCTTTTCCTTTTTCAAAGTAGTAAAAGGAAGAGTTTTTGGTTGGTTTTTTTTTTCCCCCAGAAAAAAAAGACCTGTATGTTGATAGGAACATAGTAGAAAGCTGCAGGACTTACTTCCCAGAATTTACTTGCCCAATTAAGTTACTTAAGGTAGAAAGCAAAGGTAATAAAAAGAAATAATGAACAAGTTCATTACAATGAACAAATTCTTTTCATGGTTGAAAACAAGACTTTCACAAATACAGGCTTCTCTTCGGATTAGATATTATCACACAGACTGGCAGGAAGACACATCCTTACTTTCACTGAGTGAAAATCCAGCTCCACTGAAATCTCTTCTTTTGGCTTAATCAGGAGAAGGATCTGACCCACTATGTATAACCTTGCTAGCACAGCTGATTTATGTCATTAAAATCTCCTGCCAGTTCTCAGCTGTGGAAAGCAGATTAAACTAAACTCCTTCACTGTGGTCCTCTTCTGCCAGTTTCTGCCTTGCGAGAATATTGATTAACACACTATGTCTCAGTAATGCATCTGACCACCAGTTCGTAACACCTGTGGAATAATGAGATGATACTGTGTTCCTATCACACTGTCTAAAAGCACTGGCTATGAGGAGTTACCTTTTTGACTTCATACTTAATGGCCAGCTTCACACGGCTCAGTGATGCTCTATGTCTCTGTGCTTCAACTGGCTCAGAATTCAAATCCCCATTCAGAATGGCCTCCACTTCTTCCGAGTCTCGGCAAAGATCAAGAACACCAACCACAAAATCCTTGCACTGCATAGACAGCTTGCGATAGTCATTCTGAAACAGAAGGGTTAGAGAAAATGGCCTGTGACAAACATGCTTAGGACTCAACAGCAAGGAAAAAAGAACCTGTACAAGTTGCTAAAAATTAATAGTGTGTGACTTTGATACAGTATGTCAAGTTTGGAGTGTATCAGACATTACACAGTTCTTCTATAGCAGAATCATTTCTTCTCTGACACAAGGTAGCCACTTGAACAGAAGATGATGACAGTTGTTTAACAGAGCATGGGAATGTTACATAATAGCGTGATGAAAGTAAACCAGATGGGCAGCAAAGGGAAGTTGAATGGACATGAAGAATTACACAAACAAACCAGTACCAGAACCCTTGAAATACTAACCTCACCCTTGCAAAAACTTAGCAGATAATTAATGAAATAATTCTTACAGGGTTGCCTCCCAGGCAATGAATATATTTCCATTCTTTCTACACCGCTAAAATGGCTGCTTACTCTTTATTCTGATGTCTACCATGTTCATTTCCCCCCTTTTTTCCCCCCTCCCCTCTGCTTCCCATTTATCCTTGGCACTGCTTCACACCCAAACAATGCGTAGAGTGAGTTACAAAGTAACTGCATAGAGTAACTGTGGCATGAACTTGGACTCCGGTGCAGTGGGTGAAATACTCCAAATTTTCTGTATAGGCGACACAGAAACCAGCTTCTTCAAAGGACAGTTCAAAGATGCTAGGCTCCCGAGTCATTCTCTAAGACACAACCTTTCCGCTGACAAGACAGCTGAGCTAGAGACATATTTCTGTAAACCTCAACCCTTTTATTTAAGAGCTCTGTCCACCTTTTGCCTCCTCTCCCTCTCCCCTTCACTTCCCTGACTGTATCATCTGTCACAAACTGTTCCTCTTCCCCCAAACACCTGTTACTTTACTTTAATCTCCCTCTCATTTGCTCCCGCTCCATCAGTTTTCCCTTCCGTTCTGCTGGAGTCAACAGCTCTGCCTGTGTTACCTTCTGAAAGTATATAAAGCAAACATTTGTTTACTCAGTTATTAAAAAACAACTCCCCCCTCCTCCTATTCAGATTCTTTTCAGAACCTAACCTTTTAGTAAAGCATTTCTTCTTTTCCCCCTCACTACTTCCATTTTGCACAGCATCATTGGCCATTTCCAGACTTGCAGCTTGTTGACTATAACTGTGAAGTCTTACTGTGTCATGCACCTAAAACAACTATTTTTTGCTGGCCCTACTCTTTCTGCCTTCCCTTAGCCTCCTTCAACACCTTGGGACCGTGTCCTGAGTTATGCCCGTGTGCTGTGATCCTTTCTTGTGCAGCTATTAAACTACTGCATCTAGGGTGCAGTGGTACTGCTTTTCGTGACGTTCATACCTTGTGTCTGGCATGCTGCTCACAAGTTTCACACTCTTCATCCTTACTCTCTTTTGCTGCCTCCCTATAAGCAAGCTTACGTCTATCTTTGCAGCACTACCTTTAAATTTCTCAGCTGCTCGTATATGTCAACATTGCAAAGATTTCCATCTATCTAATCTCCCCTTCTCTTCTGACAAAACATTTGTGGCTACATTTCAAAATTTTAAGATAACTCTGTAAAGCATGCACATGTGAATCTTTGCTTGCACTTTTGTTTATGCTTGTAATGCCTTCCACCACCTCTGTGACATTACCTGTAAGCTCTTACCTGATACCTACTTCCCTGGAAACCTTGGTCTTCATTCATGTGTCCATGCCCTCTCAGCTAGATTTCTAGGACTTCTTTACCTGAGATGCAGCCTCTGATTTCCCCACATGAGGCTATAGTTGGACGAGGAAACTTGACTGAACCTGTCAATTTTACCTTGTTCTGTCAAGTGTTTCAGTGCCCAACTGAAAATAGCATAGCCTTCTTTTTCAATTTCTCCACAGCTTTTCTTCATTTTTTTCCCCCATTAGGCCATCAAAAGGCTAGTCTGAGTCCTCTGTCTGTCTGTTCCTGTGTGTTTACTGTTCACTTTCAGACACTGCCTTTTTTAAATCACTTTTGGGGGGTACAGATTTTTCCTTTGCGATTCCTGCCTTCTCAAAAATGCTTCCTTACTGCTTCTGCCCTCATAATTTTTTCATTTGATCTCATTTTTTTTCCCCCTGAAACCCTCACTATTTCCCCCTTGCCTAACTAACTTTTATCTCCTTGTACTTCTGGTTTTGTTTACTGTTAGTTTTTAACTTAGCACCTAAAAAATGGGTTAGAGAAACTAAGGTGCTCTCAGTAGTTGCAAGTTATTTTGGGAAAAGATGGGAAAAGAGGCTGAAGAGGATAATTGCAGAAATCAGCTATCAATCCCATAGGTCAGATTGAGACATAAATAAAAATGAAACATCACTAGAGACAAACAAATACTACTAGGAATTGTGTTATTATGGAAGACTAACACAGCAGATACAGACTTGGAAACAACCAGCCCTAATCAGAGACCTAAACAGGACTCAGTTATTTCCTTTGGTCATAGATGACAAATTAACTCAGTTGCCAGTGAACCAACAGGATGCAAGCCAATTTAAATTTGGTTTTGGTAACCAAGGAGAATAGCACAGAACAGCCAATTATAAAAATAATACTGGGATGCATAATTAAATTCAGTGAAAGGATAAGCAAGCATATGTATGACTATAGGGCCTTGAAAAGGCAAAGTCTGGTAAGAACTAGTCAAGGGAGTGAAACATAAGCATGGAGATCTGAATGTAGAGAAGTCTTTTACTTAAAAGATGTGAAAAGGATTAGATATGGGATCCTACAAAGATAAAAACCTTGCAGAGGAAGACTCCAGAACTGTGGGTAGAATAGCAGTCCTAAAAAAGACAGAGGGGAACAATCTTTCTTGACAGTCTAGTAAAGAAAGAAAGTTTCATCATAGAGGCCAAGAACTGTAAGTATAACCTACTAGAAGTCAGGCTTATAAAGGATATTAAGCAGGTAAGACAATGTAAAAAGAAGATGGGGTTTTTCTTCACTGAAGACAAAGTAGACTAAAGACAGCCCTAGTAAAGCCAAAAACAATACCTTGCCTTCAGTTTAGTGAAGTCCTATGTTCTTAACACTGTTTATATTGTTTTCACAACAGAATTATTATGGATCTGTAAGAACTTGAATGCTCTCCCTTAAATTTCCAATTTCAAGCAAGAGTTGCTTCCACATTTCACTACAGCTAAAGAAAGGCATTTACTGAGATGGCTGAGCAAAAACCACGACAATCATTAGATAGAGCATAATGTTATTTCAACAGGAATAAGACTGGTAATCAATTTTTCTTTAACATTAAATTAGCTGTAAATCCGCTATTCGCAGCACATGGGAAGACACACTCATTTCACTGGCTTCAGTAGGAGTACTATGTAGCTAAAAGAGAAACTACATTCTTACAGGAATTTGCAGTGACTTGTAACTTTACAGGAAAAAAAGAAGGTTTGTTTTTTTTTTTTAGTATTATTTATGTCTATGCTATGCTCATAACACAGCCCAAATTTTGTCCTTGCATGAATGAACATGGACTATCCAGTTGCAGGGAGTGGCTTAATTTACAATGTTTTTTCTCATGCTTTTTGCTAATCGTGAAGAAAAAGGAGAAATAATGGACTTCCGACAGTCAGGAAATAACAATGATTACTCTTGCTAAAGGTTCACTCCATTTTCTTTACCATTTAACTATTCGCTTTTTCCTTAAAATAACACAGAAATGTAATACCAAAAGTTACATTGATAACAAGTTACTTCTCTAATACCTTCCAATATAAACGTCAGGAAAATCTAATTTTGTTTCCTTGCGTTTAAGCTATAATTGAGTCTCACACACATGCAAGTACACAAGTACAGCCTGGCATCAGGTTCATAAAATGTAATCATTCAAGTAAGTTTCTGCTACAGTCACACACACAGCTTAAAAGACCAATTAATATAGTTCTCTCAATTAGCACAAGCTAAGCAAGAAGAATATATTTTCACTGGCAGTTACAATTGTGAAATATTGCCTACACATGGCAAAGTGGTGTAAAATCACCTTCCTTTGGCAAAAGGGGGACAAACTGCAATTGCAGTGGTATCGCACGAATACTGCTATTTCACTAAACTACTACACATAGTTTCATTTTGCTCTTCTCTCATGAGCAGAGACTCATCCGCGCAAGCGGGTCAGAGCTCCCGACTGATCCTGGCAGAGGGTGCAAAGCTCCTGCCCTCACAGCTCTCACTGTATTAACTGGCATCCCCCAAAATACACCCGTCCATTCTGTGAATAGCCCTGCCGGCTCCTGAAGGACAGACTGCTTTGCATGGACTATTTGCTTACTACACAAGAATTACTCATATTTCTGCTGAAAAATTAACAGTCCTACATGTTGCTTTGATAATAAAAGTTCTTGCTTATAAAAGTTATGCTTATTGCCAGATAAGATTAAGTATTTGATGGATTAAGTTTTATTCTGTCAAATTTAAGGATTAAATACAGGCTATGTTACCTCCAAATGCTGCTCTAAGAACTGAAAACCAGTAGGTGCATTGTTAATATCTGACTCAGGCTTTGAACCTTACATTAGGAAAACTTGTCAGATTTCCCTCTCCAGGTCTTTGCTCACTTATGTATTAGCAAATCAAATTTATTTGATTGCTTTACAGAATTAAACTGACAAACATTACCCATATTGTAACCATGGGACCCAATTCTCAAACAATCTGCTACCTCTAGGGTGTTGCGTGAATAGCAAAAACCAGAACCTGTGGTCTCAGTCACGCACATACACCTCTGCTTACTCTTGAGAAGATACAAATGAAGCCACCACATCACTCGTTTCTTCCCTGTTTGAAAAAAGGCTGACAGAACTCCCCATGTGAGGCACCTGTATTTGAAAAGCCCTGCTACATGCTGTGCAAGTTGCAAATTCATGAACCTGAAGCTACTCTTCAGGGGAACACCAAACAGAGTAAGGCACCAATAGACCTGCTCATACAGTGGGGTTCTTAGCCTATTTTTCGTCACAATACAGGGAC